GTTTTTGTTTTCAGTCGTGTCACATTGACAAATGAAGGTCCAAAAGCTTTATACACCCTCCACGTCATTAAGGTCACCTCGGCTTTGAGGAGGCAGCTCTTCCCCATCTGAGCCTTCCAGCTTGCGGGGGTTCATCTTCCAGCATTGTGTCCGACAGTGATCCCCTGCTATTCATAGGGTTTTCAGTGGCCCCCTTTCTTAGCAGTAAATCTGCAGGTCCTCCTTTCTAGTGTGTCTGAGTCTAGAAGCTTTGCTGATACCTGTCCGCCATGGATGACATCACTAGTACTTCAAATACCAGCGGTAGAGCTCCCAGTATCACATCAACAGTACAACAAACGGAAAGCTCTACCATGGGTATTTGAACTGGAGGCTGTGCTGGATGATGGTTGCTTCTCCAGCAGAAATGAAAGGTGCCCTTGTTCAAAGGCTGGAAAATAGGAAAAAGGCCCCTCCAGCCGGCTTCAGCCCCAACTAGGAGCGCAGCTTGTCCGGAAAGACACTGGCCGATCCCTCTCCATGGTAACCCTACTTCAAGGAGAAATGGCCACAGAATTCACGTTCTGTTTTGGAAACCCTGGAATTGGCCTGAGCCCCCAGCTGAGGAAGGGGCTCCAGCACTTCAGGCCCCTGGCAGATATGGACCAAATAATGTGGCTCACTTTCAGTCACACACCACCACACCGCAGAGTGGCACCAGATGTTGGAAACCACAGTCAGAGGCCCTCCTTGCCATAAAACTGAACCAAGATATCTCAGTCGTCTCCCCTGACAGTGCCATTCCTTGTTGAGGGGAAAACCCACCTGGAAGAAAAGCCCCGTGTCCACTGAAGCCCTATGAGGTGAGGGGTGGGTCTGCCGCCCATGTGGGGCGTGACAACAAAAGCCCGAGGTAGCTCTGCAAGACTTCAGCCTGTCGGTGTCGTTTTAAAACTGCCATCTGATTTGGTTAGAGGAAATGTAAAAAGCCAGACCATGCATACAGAAGCCTTCAAAATACCTTAAAAGACGGGGTACCTTTATATTTTCACACCAACTGCTTTGTACCTTCGCTAAGTCAAGCTGCTATGCTGGAATGTGAAGTTCTAAAGGCTGCCAAGTTCAAATTGCAGAGAATCAAAACTGCGTGAGTGCACTCAAGTGCTAGTACAGACAACCTTCCTATCAACACTGGGCAGGTGTTACTTTCCGCTGACCTCAAACATACCCATCTCAGTGGTTTCACTTTGGGAAATGTTTTCCCCTTGGGCACTCAAGGTCACCTTGCAGGTCTGGCCGGACCCACCTGGAGTGAAGGCGGTGCTGTCAGTATGGCCACTGGTGACTGGAGTCCTCCTGAGAGGAGGACAGACAGAGGGAGGCACCAATGGCCTGAGGGAGAAGGAAGCATCAGGATTCATGCATTTCTTCAGTAAAATGCGTTTTTTCTCCTTTTTTTCCCCGTCAGAATGCTATTTCCTGAAGCTCAGCGTTCAGAAAACACTGGAAAACTGCTACAGTTGGCAGATGTGGACCCAACTCTCCGGCCCTGTCAGCTTGCTCTCTCCCACTTCAAGGCCCTCTGTGACGTTTACCGGAAAATGTGCGACGAAGACCCATCCCTCTTTGCCTATAACTTCCGGCAAGAGCTCAAACAGAGTAAAAGCAGAGGTCAGGAGGAGAGTGGCGGGCTCTAGCCGCTCCTTCCTTTCGACGGGAATGTGTCCATGCTGGGCTCTTGTACGGACTGACAATAAAAATGCCAATGACCAGATGTGACTGCTTTTCCTTTTACTGTACAGGTTGGTAGAGAAAATAAATATCATCAAATAAGATACAGTACAAGCTTTCTTTTAATTAATATATACATATGTATATATATATACTGCATAGGCATGGCATATTTATATAAACAGCAGCTATAACCACCTTACAGAAAGGACCTGTCTCCACAGTGTGCACCTAAACCACATTAAAATTACTTCAATGTGGTTTAAATAAAGCAGAAACTAACAGCTCAAAAGAAAATGCCCAGAGAATTGGGGGTGGAGGAGATGCTTTTGGAAGTTTATTCCCCCCAACCCTCTTAGGTTTTCCTCATAACTTAAAATAATTAGAATGCAATTTTATTTTAGGGATTTGAAATCATTCTGATACCTGCTCAAAAGAGACATAATAAACTAAGTAATTTACAGATTCCAACCAGCTTAATCTAGTTTTCTGATCCACAATAAATTAAAATAACTTAAATCTTTACAACTATTGTGTGGAAAGTGGAAAATACAGACTGCACGAAACCCAAGAATGAATCGTTTTCCTGCAGCGTCCATTTTGCTACCCTTGTAGATGGGACCTACATGGACTGAGACCGTCCTAGGATTTCCCATGGTTCTCTGAGTCATAAAAGCATTCCTCGTTGACAACCGACGTGAGCTTCTGGACACCGAACTCTCGTTCCAGGACGGAACTGAAGTCGATGTTGGTGTTTGGAGGCTGGCTGTCAAGAGACTGGTGACGTGTCTGTGACTTCAGCAGAGTGCCCCTGTCCCTTTTGGTGCTGTTTGCTTTCCGCTTGATGGGGCAGAAATGTCCGCGGACCAGCTTGGGCTGCTGGCCCTCCCTGGCCTCGGTGCCAGGCGGCAGCTCTGCACCATGAGTGTCAGCCTCCTCGGAGATTCTCAGTCTCTGGAACTGAATCTCGATGTCCTGGGTTGGGCTGCTCCACTTCAGACCCAGGGGGTAGTCGTCCTCCTCGTCACTCAGAATGTCACTCTCTTTGATGAGACTGTCGGAAAACTCTGGCAAGCTTGAGGAGTGAGGGTACTTGGCTGGCGACTCCCTCTTGGGATCCGGTCTGCTCTCGGCTGTGTGGCAGCCGCTGCTCTGTGTGCTGCTGCCGCCCAGGCTGCCCTCGTCCGAGTCCAGCGAGGTGCCCTTGCCTGTCTCGCCCGTCCACTCGCTGCTGGAGGAGTTCTTGAGCACCTTCAAGGATCTGGATGATGCTGCAGTTAGAGAAGCCCAGAAACAGATGGAACATGAAACCCATTCCTGGTAACCCGGGAGTTACAAAGCACAACTGCTCTTCAGGGTTCTCACAACTAATGAACACTGACCCAGCTGTTTCTAATGCAGTGCTGCTAGGCGGGGGGAGGGGGGTTCATGGTCAAATGCAGACCATTTGAACCACAGAGACAGCTAGAAACAGATTCCCACAATGTGCAATTTTTGCATCATATGTTATAAAATCATACATCTTAATTACGTAAGTATTTTATAGTCCAACTTAGATGACCAGCTATTGGGAGACTTAGCCAAAAACATGTAGATACTGCAAAAGCAAAGACATCTCTCACATCTATTTAAATCTTTTAGTTTGGTGTTTGCAGTTTTAGATTTGTGAACCCTGGGAAGTGAGTTACTAACAGAGCCGAGTCCCTTTCACATAAAGTGCTTCTTTATTCCAGAATTCCAATCCCACCATAGTTCTGTGCGTACCTGCCCACCCTCCTACTGATGCTCTCTCATGAGAAATGTCTCTGCTGGAAAATCTAACCAATTTTCAGACATTTTATTCATTCACTCCTCACAGGCATGGCTGGGTTCCCAAGGCCACGTGGTCATGTGGAAACGGGCATTATTCGAAAACGGAGGATGACCACATTGCTATGTAACTGCACAATCACTGAGAATCACGGCCCACCCAGTTGGCACACGGCTGTCACAGCCAGCGTTACTCTCACCTCAGCCTTCGTCACTGACATACCTATGTTCAAAGCTACTGGATGGATTTTTTTTACTTCTGCCGTAAATGCAAAATTGGATAATGAGATAGCCCAGTAAGTAAGGAGTAGGTACAAAGGCAAGAACAAATACGTAGTAAATTTGAAGAGGTCAAAGTTTTGTGACCAAAAAAGGAAAGATGTTGCCTACACATTTTGCAACACTTAGAAAATGAATATAATAAAATAATTACTGTAAGACAATCCTGGTCAAAACGGGGCTAATGTGGAACAAAACCTCAAATTTTCACGGAATCCAGATTTTCTGGATCCACTGAGGCTCAATGACTACCCTCAAAATTTGGCAAGAACAAGTCTCTACACCGTGACTGTCAAACCGAGAATGCGCTCCAAAGTCCCCTTTAAGCTAAACAACAGCTCAACAGAATTAAAACAAGGTCCGCCGTGAGCTTTTAAAAAACACTGTCTACATCTGACCACACTGACACTCGCAAGGTCAGCACTGGACTGCTAACCGCAAGGTCGGCGGTTCCGACCCACCTTGGAAACCTTATTCAGAGTCACTATGAGTTGGAACTGACTTGAAGGTACTTAACAACTAACAGAAAGGTGGGCAGTTCATCCCCACCCAGGGATGCCTTGGAAGACAGCCCTGGTGATCTGCTTTTGAAAGGTCAGCCTTGAGAACTCGATGAAGCGGTTCTACTTTACACACTTGGGGTCGTGGGGTCGCCATGAGTCAGAACAACTCAAGGGCACCAGCTTGGTTTTGTGGGAGCTGGGGCGGCTCCAGATTCTGAAGGGCCAACTGAGAATGAGGATCTGTAGGGCTCTTAACAGGAAATCCAGCTGCCACTCATTTCCCTGCAATTGGAGTTTCTCATTTAGAACTCACAAAGCTGCTGTTTCCGCCTCTGTTCCCAGAGCACACATCCCTTCCCAGAAGTCTAGAGGTTTTACAGAATAAGCAGATGTCCAGCGAAGCACTCACCTAATCTGGCTGAAACAGGAACGCGGTTCTTAAGTGGGACCAAGCGGTCCTTACATGCTTTGTCCAGGGGTGAGTCACACTTCATGTGGCGCCGGAAGTTTTCCCGCAGGATAGAACGAATCCCCTTCACGATGCTGGTTTTGCTTTCGCAGTCACTGGGGAAGAGAACAGAGCAGTTCCTGGACTGTCTGATGCTCAGGTTCCGGCCCACCTCGTTGTTCTGAGGCCATTGGGGCCAGACCTCTCACAAGCCTGGGGCCCACCACACAGGCCAGACTCTGCAAGCCCTCCCCCGTCCCAGTTTCCTTGCTTAGTAAAGGAGGCATGAACTGATGGCGCTTGAAGTTTCTCCCAGCACCGTGATTTGGATAGACATTGAATTAATGTTCTTCCCTTTCAGGAGAACGTTACTCGTCTTGTTTTCATGTTAGGAGATCAGCAATACCTGCAGCACAGCTGGAAGTTGGTCTCCGGCCGTCCCTCGATTTCCGACTTGGTGTGGATCAGCTCCCAAAGGGCATTATTTTCTGTTCCTGTGTTAGTGAAAGGGAAACTCGGGAGTCTACAACTTCACCAAAGAGCTCTGGTAGCGTGGTGGTTACGAACTGGGCTGCTAATCTCACGGTCAGCAGTTCAAAACTACCAGCTGTTCCGTGGGAGAAAGATGAGGCTTTCTGCTCCCGTAAAGATTTATAGCCTCGGAAACCCTGTACAGGGTCGCTGTGAGTCGGAACCGACTCCACGGCACATAACAACAACTTCACCAGTGAGGCCTGCCATGATTGAAAATGGTCAGACTCACAACTTTAGGGTGAAAAGTTCAGTATTCTTAAATCCAATTCTCATCATTCATTTCCATGGCTCATTATATAAGAGGCTTCAAAAAGTTTATGAAAAAATGGAATGAAAAGATGATAGAATTTTCCCTTGAACTTATATCCCCTTGTATGTATGACTTCAATAAACAGGACTATAAACTTAGTTCCTTTTCATATTTCCTGAAGTACCCCTCCCTCCATCTTTGCCTGCTCTCCACGTTTCCTGGACCCCGCCTCTGTGAGACAGCATCAGTGGGCACCGTCAGCCAACTCTCGGTAGAAACCACAGTGGGATTTGCTCAAGTGCTTGAGGTCAAAAAGAGTCCAGGCCCACGTTCAGTCAGGTTCTGGGAAACGTAAGCACTACAGACAAAAGGGAACCAGCATGTGGCCTCCTGCCCTGGCTGTTCCAGAACACGGTGATTCTAGAAGCATCTCGGATCATCTTCTAGGACCTAAAACTTATCTTTTTATGCTATTTCTGGTGGGTCTGCCTTGTAAGGATCTAATTTGTGGGCTGTTGTGTTCTTTAGAAAATTTGCAACTTTCAAGGCTATTAGCGTGGAAAAGTACCGAGAGAGGAACTAAGGGAACAAGGAAGAGCAATTTTCTGCAGCCAGCCAGCCAACCACTGGCTTTTCGTTTCTCCTGTAAAGAAACATCAAAACAACTTCACTCGTCCTCATTGTTCTAGTCTGTAAAAAATAGACGAAGGAGTTCCTGGTGGCTCTAGGGGGAGCACTGGGCTGGAAATATCAAGGTCAGCTGTTCAAACCCCCCAGATGTTCTGCAGGAGAAAGAGGAGGCTTTCTGCTCCCACACAAGAGGACAGCCTCAGAAACCCTAATACAGGGTCGCTGTGAGTGGAGTAGCCTTGATTACCATTTATCCGAGTTTTGGGGGGTTTTGGATAAAATTTGTTGTTCAGTACCATGGAGTCAGTTCCGACTCATAGTGACCCTGTACAGGGTTTTACAGGAGCAGAAAGCCTCATCTTTCTCCCGCAGAACAGCTGGTAATTTCGAACTGCTGACTGTGAGGTTAGCAGCCCACATTCATAACCACTATGCTACCAGAGGTCCTTTAGTATCATTAGATACCAAAAATTATCTTCAAGATCCCTTTTACTTTTTCACCCCACAGCTTAAGGAAGTCTCTTAAAAAGGTTTCTTCTGGTGCAGCAAGACACAAAACAGTTACCTGCTGTGTTCCCCAGCCGGACCTGAAGTGCAGATATGGGGATCAACCATCGGAATTTAAATGGGTCCAAGTCAGTTGAGCCGTGTGCAGGCCGGGAATTTGCGGGCTGAAACACAAAGACCCACCAAGAAGCATGTTTAACCTTCTCACGCAGGGTACATGGCTCTAGTGGGTAGAAGCTGTCCGTTTGCATCTGTGCCAGGCCCAGATGTTGTGTGTTCAGGGCACAGATGAATCACCGTGCCACCTCATGGGATGAAGCCAGAAGCAAGCTTCCAGGTCTCTATGCAAGAATGACAACCAAGTTCAGAGTCCTCAGATTAGCCTGGATGGTACCTGGATGGCTTAGAGCGTTCACAGCTAAGCTGTCCTTGAGTCCAGAGAAAAGGCATTTGAAACAAACCAAAGTTAACAAAACGGGACTGAATGTGAGCTGCTAATTTTCTATGCGGGCTCCAGCTAGCCCGCTACTTATCCACACTTTTTCTTAAAACGAACACCTTTTGTGGGAGAATCGTAAATGCCGTAGGTGTTTGGTTGGTTTGCTGCCCTAGGAATTGGTGATGTCAGTACTTGAGCCCCGGGCTTTTCAGCTCCACATTAATGGGAAGGATGGACCACAACAATGTGGCTTTCCTTCTTACTCCGTCTTGTCTTACCAGTTTCTTCTTCAGCTTGTAGTTTTCTTTATAGACCAGTATGACAGCTCTCTTAAAAACTAAAGGAAAAGAGAAAGAAGAGACTTACATTATGTAAACTCTTCCCAAGGTCAAACCAAAGCTGAATGTTTCAACAGAACAAAAAAAAAAAAAAGCCCTTCAAAATTTATGAATTTCAAAGCTTGCACTATGCCAACACATGAATGGGTGGTCCTGACTTCTGTTTCACTTGAATTATGTACCAGCTTATTTTAAAGCCATTATCTGAAGAAGATGCTGACATCTTTAAAAAGTCTATCGTCTCTGGTTTTGTCTTCTGGAAAGCTGAGGACATGCCGTTCACCTCAGTGCTGTGTTCGCCTAGCATTAAGACATTTGAGATGCGTCTAACTATTCAGAGATCTGTTCTGTGACACTTGGCAGCAGCCACCAGGACAAGCAGCATGAGGCGGACAAGATAATGAGGCTGGGGCGGAGGCCGAGTTTTAAATAGTTGGAGACTGGCTGTGCTAAGTCACAAGCCATTATAGAAACGCTTCCATCTCCTGGAGACGAGGAGTGAGGAACAAAGTTGGATTCTCCTGGAATCCTGATTTCTGGGATCTTTGAAAGAACTGGTATGTAAGAGTGGCCTTGAGTTAAACAGTGGTCTAGGTAGACAAGTGAAAAGAATTTCACCTGGGGTACTGGGCAGAGATTTGAGACAGGGACTCTTAAGAGGCTAGAAGCTGTGTTTCAGGATTAACACTCTGGTCCTGTTTCCATGGCAATGTCTATAAACTGGGTGTAAGACTCTTAAGGACATTCTTTTCCTCTGGGACAATTTTTGACACCCTGGTTGAAATGTTACCCTAGTTTGCAAATCGTATGTTAAATAAACATCCATCAAGTTCTGTCATTGACTTAACAGGATTTCTGTTGTAACAGGTGTTCGCTGGACTGGTGGGTTTCATGAAGTTACTCATTTATTCTCAGCCTCTTGTCACTCTTTCTTCAACTCAGGAGGCAATAGGCAAATTCTGACTTTATCATGGACAAGATACTAACCGAACACTGTGAGTTCCAGGTCTTTTCTGGCTTTTCCTAGAGACAAAAATGGATTCAACCAGGACACAGTAGAATGCATCAGAAGTTCGCCCATGGAAAGTTCTGTGACCTGTGTGACGAAGGAAGAGAGCAGGTGAGCAGCTACGGGGAGCGCCGGGCTCGGCTAGCTTACGCTAGACACCAGATCACATGTGTTATTGTTGTTAGGTGCCGTCGAGTTGACCCATAGCGACCCTGCATAGGGTTTCCCAGGAGCAGCTGGTGAGTTTGAACCACCGGCCTTGCAGTTCAAACAGCTTTGCAGTCTGGCGCATTAACCCACAGCCCCACAGATCACGTGTGTGGTCACTGCTAAATACAAGCGCATTCTGTTGGATTTTATGGGACCTTCGTAGTGGAAATTTTGAAAACCAGCATGAACATAAAGGTAGTCGGCTTCAGTGTGAGACTCATTTCAACCACCTACTCAACTTTAACATTCATTCCAGTGTTCATGTGGACCCAAGGGTCTTTCTTGACACTTGCGGTAGGATCTAGTGCAGTCACCACCTCTGAGCCCTAATGTCACCTTGTAGGATAAGCACCAGACTGTTAACTGCAAGGTCAGTGGTTCAAACCCATCAGCCGCCCCTTGGAAACCCTATATAGGGTTGCTCTGTGTTAGAACCAACTCAAAAGCTCTTAACAACACACAATTGAGCCTTGATGTCATGTTGTAGGATAAATACTGGACTGCTAACCAAAAGGTCAGCAGTTCAAACCCACTAGCCACTCCATGAGAGCAAGATGACGCTTTCTGCTCCAATAAAGATTTACAGCCTCAGGAACCCTATTCAGGATGACTATGAGTGGAAACCCACAAGCTACGTGAAGTCTGCTGACAAAATGACTGGCACTGAAAAGGACAAAAAAAAGTGAAACTCCAGCTCTTTTTCCTTCTTGCCTTTTTCTACTTAAACTGAGTTGCTTCTTCAGTGACACCAGAGATGGAGGCAGAGACGATGATGTGGAGAGATGGAGTGGCTGGGGTCTTTAGACTCTGGGAGGGAGAGGGGCTGTGTGCTGATGGCTGGGGGGCAGGCTTGCGGGATGTACCCTTTGGTTGTTTGATAATGCATGCAGGAGACTGTATTCATTGCAATGAGATGAAGTAAATAGGATGAATGAGAGCTAATGTTCTCCCATGTAAACTGTCACATAATTCATAACAACAACAAAAACTGAGTTGCTTCTTATGTATGCATTTTTAAAGCACAGAATTTTAAAGTAAGCAATTGGGCAACAAAGAAATATTCAGAAATTGCCAAAACCCACTTAATAAAGCTAAGTGTATCAGTGAAGTGGGAGCTACCAGTACTGGATGTTAAAGAAGAAAACAGAAAAAAGGGCAGGTCCTAGGTTCATCCACACACACCACCCACTTCCTCTCTCCATCCCACTCGGCCAGCCTGACCAACCAGTCTGCATGCAATTGACCCCCGTGTATGTCCGAGTAAGGCTGTGCTCCATAGGGTCCTCAGTGTCTGAACTGACCCCCGTGTGTGTCCGAGTAAGGCTGTGCACCATAGGGTCCTCAGTATCTGAACTGACCCCTGTGTGTGTCTGAGTAATGCTGTGCACCATAGGGTCCTCAGTATCTGAACTGACCCCCGTGTGTGTCCGAGTAAGGCTGTGCACCATAGGGTCCTCAGTGTCTGAATTGACCCGTGTGTGTCCAAGTAAGGCTGCGTACCATAGGGTCCTCAGTGTCTGAATTGACCCCCGTGTGTGTCCGAGTAGGGCTGCGCTCCATAGGGTCCTCAGTGTCTGAATTTTCTGAAGCAGACCACCAGGACTTTCTTTTGAAGCACCTCTGGGTGGACATGAACATTAGCAGCTAAGCTCCATTAACTGTTCACACCCCCCAGGGTCTCCCCAGCAGCCTGAGGCCTCTCTAGATTTGTCTTACCTCGTGCCCCAGAGGCCAGGAGGACGAGGGAGGGACATGAGCTCGGTGGTGTAGGCCCTGCTCTCTTCTGTACAATGGTGCTAACTTGATGTCAGCTCATATTCTGTAAGTCAGTGTAATGGATTTTCCATTTTGCCTACGTGGCATGGTTTATTATACACAGTAAGGGGCCCTGGTGGCACAGTGGTTAAGCACTAGGATGCTAACTGAAAGGTTGGTGGTTCAAACTCGCTTAGCATTCTGAAGGAAAAAGACTTGGTGTCTGCTTCCATCAAGGCTGAGGCCCAGAAAGCTCTGAAGGGACGTTCTCTCTGGCCACTATGAGCTGAAAAGCGACTTGTCGGCACCCAGGAACAACCTCATGATTGTTAAAGATGAAAGTGACAATTTCAGGAAGTGTGCCCTCTGTGAGCTGAGTTGTATCTCCCCAGATCGGAGCTGGCATCCTGAGCAAAGCCACCGTCCACAGTACACTGTCCTGTATGTAACCCGTCTATCGCATGAGGTCATGCTGGGTGGGTCCAAAACCTCATCACTCAGTCCCAGAGAGAACAGAAAGACTCGGAGATGCACCCACGAACTACAGAGGCTGCCACGTCCTGTGAGGACCGTCAACAGCCCAAGGAATCCAGGAACGTCTGACTGCTAACAAGGAGCCGTCACACACTCCAGACCCATCTCGACTTTTAGCCTCCAGAATTCCGAGAATATTCATTTTCTTTTGTTAGGGATTTAACTGCATCTAAAAGGATGTGCCCTAAATTCTCACCTCTATCCACTTCCTTGTGGATATGGTCCCGTTTGGGAATGGAACTGTGTTCTGTTCATGTTCAGTGTTGTTCATGTGTACAGTGTTATTAATGTGTACAGTGTTGTTAATGTATAGTGTTGTTAATATGTGCGGTGCTGTTCATGTGTACAGTGTTGTGTACTGCCATTCAGTCGGTACTGACTCTTGGCAATCCTGTATAGAGTTTCCAAGGAGCAGCAGGTGGATTTGAACTGCCGACCTTGTGGTTAGCAGCCCAGTGCTGACCCTACAGTGCTGACCCTTGAGATACAGCAGATTAGGCAAAGAGACGGCAGCACAAACGGGAGACATACGGCCCATGAAGACTTCGGAGGAGTAGAGGAATCGAGGCTGAAGGACAAGAACTCTCTCCCAGAGCAGACAGACAGACAGACACAGAGACAGCGCCTTCTGCCAGGGCTCGGAATGCAGACTCCTAACCTCCTAAATGCAAAAGGAACCCTGGCGTGGCATTGGGGGATAATGCACTGGACTGCAAGGTTGGTGGTTCAAACTCACCAGCTGCTTCTTGGAAACCACATACAGGGCCAACTCAACGGCACTACATCCCCACTTCTGGTATCTGTGTTAGAGCAGCTCCAGGAACTAAGACCCAGTGCACATATGGACCCCAGACCCCACTCACCTCCTTTGTTCCACTTTGCTCCGCTACCAGCTGATCAAACACAGTTCCATAATCCTCGTAGATCTTCTGCATCTCATTGATGTGGCTTGCGACTTTCTCCATTGCCTTTAGTGCTTCTGTACAAGTGGAAATCGTATTTATTTCATAATTTTTGTTTGTTTTAAACCCTGCCCAACAGCAGTAATGAAAGGACCCCAGATTCAAGAGCATTTACTACTAACAGTGGCATTCCTCAGGTATAACGAACACTGTATCCTCTCCTCACTAATCGACAGAGTTAGGGTCCAAAGACCAGGCTGTCGAATGAAGTCAGTGTTAATGTGAAAGTGGAGGGTAACTACATCATTGCTTATCTACCAAATTACATGAATACATAACCACCAGAGTCATCTATTTCCTTACAGTGCCTGACCACTGAGTCATGGCCCAACCAGACTGGCACATAACCCAAACCATCACCGGCAGCGTAACTCGCCTCTCACTGCAGCAATTGTTACTACTAATGTATGTCGTTTAATGGGCAAAGCAGTTGGACAAATTTTTTTTATTACTGTTGTAAATATGAGATGTCAGATAATGAGATTGAGGAGAAGGTGTAATTAGAATGAAGAACGGTAAAAGTACCTCTACCTCAAATCCTCTTTGGAATACGGCAGAGTACAGTAAAATTGATCACCAATAACATCTAACAAGAATAGACAAATTGCTCTTTGGCAGGTTCTGTAATCCGTGATTTACCTGGCTCCTCCTACTATCATGTAGGAACTGTAACCAACCTCATTTTATAGGTGAGAAAAAGGGAGGTGTAACAGGGATGAACCCTGAATTGAACCCAGGGCTGGCTGGGCTCAGGGCCTCTGCTCTTACCGGTTGCCGCTCCTCAGAGACCGGCTGCTGGAATTGTGAGCTACAACTTCTGATTAGACTTTACAACCCTCTCTGTGAATGCCTAACTGCCAGAGCAAGTCTTTCATTTATGTTGTGAAGTGCCATCAAGGCAGTTCTGACCCACAGCGACTCTGTATAGGGTTTCCAAGGAACAGCTGTTGAGCTTGAACCACCGACTTTGTGGTTCAAACTAACCTTGCAGTCCAGCACATGAACCCACAGCACCACACCAGGACTCCACACATGGTGTTTGTTACTTTCTACAAGGATTGTATTGATGCTGTAGGATAAATAAGCAAGCACTGGATTGCTAACTGTAAGGTCAGTGGTTCAAATCCACCAGCAAGATCTTGGTACAAAATTATATTTTTATATAGCACCTGAACACTAATCATAGCAGGGTATCAGTTACTTTAATAACAAAAAGTAGATTCTCAATCTTCAGTGCGTACTACAAAAGAGCCAGTTTCACTGGCACCCTCTTCAGAATCTACCATCCTGTGATACTAACATTTATGAAGAAGTTCATTTCTCTGTGTCTCCAGGGTTTTCTTGCGCATGGCTTACCTGGACCTCTGGGAAGTACTAGCATGTGGAGAACAAACTGCTACTTCTTTTCATTCTCTTTCAGGGGCATGCTAATCCCAGTCAAACTGAAAGCGTGATGCTTTGGGCAGATTGCATCCTTTGGGCCAGTAATTTCTGAGGTTACAACAGATGATAAATCCCTGTACACGTTAGTCCCTGACTCAGGACAGGGTTCTGTTCTAGTGACTGTCATAGAGGGTGGTTTGTAAGTCAAGCACCTTGTTTTCTTTAGTTTTCGTTATTGTCAGTATCTTTATAAATCTGGCAGTGTTCTGAACAGTAAATTACATGCTACAGCACATTACCAATGGTAAAATGTACAAATATCTGTACATGGTTGTAAATGCGGTTGATTGTCCACTAGAAATCAAGTCTGCCACTGAGTGGATTCGGAGTCGTGCGCAGTTACTCTATCTCCACTAGGTGGCGCCCCACCCAATGTATATGATCCGCAGCATTTGGGCCATAAACAACCCAAAACAACTTCACAGTTACCTACGTTTTGTCTGAAGTTGCATTCTGGCAGCCCAGTTTACCAGCTACGTGGCCTGAGGTCACGTCTCTCTGGAATCACTGAGGTCAAAATGACCTTTTAAAAATGAGGGTGGAATTTTTACCAAATTTGAGGTCAGTCCAATGAGATCTGAGTTCTGGTGTGGCGCTGTAGGGTGACTGCTAACCTCAAGGTCAGCAGTTCAAACCTACCAGCTCCTCTATGGAACCAAGTCGATGGTATCAGTAACAGCCTCCGCCGCCACCACCATGGAGATCATGTTTACGGAAGCATTGTGTAAACCTGACAGGGATGCCCACGTGTCTCCCTGTTCTCACACAGAAGCACCTCCAGCTGTGACGTCACTCCTGTCCGAGTGAATGCGGGTTGGGGGGCTGCTCCGCTCACCTGTCAGGTGGTAGTGCTCCTCACTCTCGTGGTCCGTCAGCGACACCAGCTCCCTGAGCAGTAGTGGGTACTTGAGCACCCTCTGCACCGGCTTGATGAGGTACGACTCCAGCGTGGACGAATGCTGCTTGGTAGGGTTCCGGGCGTCCAGAAAGGCCTTGAAGGCTTGGTCAGTTTTCGCTACGAGCAGACAGAAAGCAGAACCTTAGAACATGAATTTCACTTAATTTTTCTGTGGAGACCTGGTGTGATGCTTTAGGGTAAGCACTGGACTTTGAACCACAAGGTCGGCAGTTCAAACCCACCAGCTGCTCCTTGGAAACCCTATACAGAGTTGCTATGAGTCGGAATCTACTCGGCACTTACAGTGACAGCAGCAATTTGGTTTTTAGCGGAGTCCTGATGTGGCGCTGTAGGGAGTTCAAATCACAGGGTCGCTACTGAGTCAAAACCGACTTGACCATACCTAACAACCAGTGTTACCCGTTTCTGTAGTCCTCCACACCCCTAATAGAAAACCAGCCCCATCACTGGGTCCGGCGTCCAGGTATCGAGTCTTGTGTGCACGGGTACCACCAGAGAAGTCGGTGCACCCAACGGGCACTGAGCTCCCGTTTGTGGAGTTAACTGTTAGCAACTCCGTGTAGGGTTTCCGAGGAGTGGCTGGTGAGTCTGAACCACCAACCTTGCGATTCAAAATGGCTGTGTGGCGCAGTGCTTTACTCCAGCGCCCCGCCAGGCTGTGGAGTTGTTGGGAAGTGCTGTCCAGTTGTTTCTGATCCATAGCGACCCTGTATAGGGTTTCCAAGGAGCAGCTGGTGAGCCTGAACTGCCCATCTTGCAGTTCAAACAGCTTTGCAGTCTGGCACATTAAGCAAGGCTATAACTTCCATGACACATTTCCCAGCACAACCATCAGAGAGCATGAAACCACAGACTCAGATACCAAAACAAAAACCAGTATGTGTATGTTTTTGGTTCTGTGGTTTTTTACTGGACGAGCCTGGTGGCACAACAGTTTAAAGCAATAGACTGCTAAGCACGAGGTTAGCGGTTCCACCCCACCAGATGCTTGGCGGGAGAAAGATGAGGCTGTCCAAGGTTTTCAGCCTTGGAGACCCTAAGGAGCAGTCTACCCTGTCTGACAGGGTTGCTCTGAGTCGGAATGGCACTTGGGGTGGGGTGGGGGTGGGGGGGTTAGAACAAACTGTTGCTTATTCCATACAGTTCATGGTTATTAACAAAGCAATACTTTCCCGCCCCCCGCCTCTAAAATGGGTTTACTGCAAACTTCACTTCCACGCTGCAGCCCCCTACACCACAAAGAAGCCCCCACCACTGTCCTGTTAGGCCCTGGGGGGCAGCACCCAGGTATCCAAATGCCTGGACTTCCCCCAGATGGCACCGGGTGACCAGATGTTTGGTTCTGTTATTTGTGATTCTGTCACAAGGAGACACGACACCTTCAGCGAGGTACAAACATCATTCTGTCACAAGGAGACACGACACCTTCAGCGAGGTACAAACATCATTTGAATTTGATCTTCACAGGAACAGACCAAGTGGGTGCTGTGAGATCCCCTCCTCATCAGCCACCTAACAACCACAACCACACTTCATCAGACGGTGCTCCTGAAGGAAAGGCCAATGGAAGCAGACCACTGTTTCAAGCAACAGGAGAAGGGCTAGGCTGGGCATTCAGAACCTAAGGGTCTTAGTAATGTAAAGTTCTCAGACACTGCACCTTTAAACTCGAGACTTGTCTTCTAGGATATTGTAAGGGTCTAGATTTAAACCAAATGGCACGGTGTGGAAACAATGAGACACCATCAGTGTGAGGACCCCTCTCTCTCTGCATGTCCTCCAGGACCATGTGGAGAAAGCAGCTCTGCTTTGAAGAAGAAACACTGAAGGGCGACCTCTGGACGCTGTCTGACAGCACCAACCAGAGGCTCTGCTGACCGACAGAAGATGTGATGACCTTTTTACAGGTGGCTGGAACGGAGCTTTGCTGCCTACTCTGCTGAGGCAACTGCAGGGGTTCAAAGTACAGAACCTTCCTCAAACATTGTCATAGTCATGGAAGAGAGTCCCATCCACTGCCACCTAGAGAGGTGGGCAATCACGAGACCACCCTCAATGAGGAAGAAGGCCTTCAGGTTCTGCATGAAGTCGTTTTCATCCTGGTAAATGTATGCTTAGGGGGGCTTGCTTCCTATTTCCAAGTACATTTGAAAGAATACAGAGAATTTGGTGACCATCACTGAAGAACCTTCAGATACCTTACATTGTTAGGTGCTGTCCAGTTGGTGCTGACTCATAGTGACCATGTGTAGGGTTTCCAAGGAGCAGCTGGTGGGGTTGAACTCCTGACCTTGTGGTTCACAGTCCAGTGCTGATCCTGTAGTGCCAGACCAGAATATATACAGGATTCCATGTATTTTTATACGAACTTGTCTGTCAGTTTCTTGTACTGTGGTGGCTTGGGTGTTGCTGGAAGCTCTGGATGCAGAGGGTGTGGCGCTGTAGGATAAGCACTGGACTGTAAACCAGCTGCTCCTCGGACACCCTATGCCAAGTCAATAAGAGTCGGAACCGACTGCACGACATTAAACAACAATGTCACTAGGGTCACCCACGGACAAGTTTCAGTGGAACTTCCAGACGAAAACAGGCTAGGAAAAAGGAGAAATGTACAAGCTTCTGAAAGTTTAGTGACAAAACCTTCTGAATAGCAGTGTAACATTGTCAGGCATGATACCAGAAGATGAGCTTCTCAGGTTTGAAGGCACTCAAAATGTGAGTGGGGAAGAGCTGTCTCCTCAAAGTAGAGTTGACCATAATGATGTAAATGGAACAAAGCTTGGGACCTTCATTTGTTGATGGGACACAACTCAAAATATGGAGAAACAGCTGCAAACATCCACTAATAATCAGAACATGGAATGTAAGTATGAATCTAGGACTACTGAAGGTTGTCAAGAATGAAATGAAACACATAAAGATCGATATCCTAGGCATTAGAGATGAAATGGACTGCTCTTGGTCGTTTTGAATCTAACAATCACGTGGTTTACTATGCTGAGAAATTCAAATTGAAGAGGAATGGTGTCACATTCATCATTAAAAAGAACATTTCAACATCTGTTTATATTGCGCTTTATTGATAATGCAGAGGCTTTCGGGTTATTTGGTGGTCTGTCTGGTGGGGGTGTATCCTGTACAGAGAAGGCTGCTAAGAAAGAAAAAACATGGCAGGTACACCTTTCTACCCCCATCCTGGGTTACAGCTGGAAGTTTTTATATAAAGGAATATATCAAGAATGCAGATGTAATTTAATAGCAAATTGATTCCATGTGTTAGGCACGCTTGCTCAATACACTGGACTTAACTTTCCCTTCAGTGCCTGTCACTTTCAAGGTCAAGAATGGAGCATCATTCACTAAGATGATGCCAAGCCCTACTGGTTACACACAGACTCATGCTGTAAGACAGCTGAAATACAATCAGCACAGCTACTGTTGAACAATGATGCATGGAGGGGGACTGTAGTCATTACAATGAAATGAAATATGATAGGATGAATGTAAAGCTGATGTTCTCCCATGTAAACTACCACTCAATTCACAATAAAAAACAGTGAAAGCTGTGAAAGGTACAAATAACTTACCTCGTTCTAGAACCTTCTGTACTTTAATATGATTAGCACAGAACCCGCTGTACAGTTTAAAGTGGTCCGCGTAATACAGGAATGAGCCTCCCAAGGAAAACAGTAACTTCTAGGAGGAGAAGGGAGACATCAAATCAGGTTTGGGTTGAACAATGTCCACTGGCTACGACAAGGCACTTGGGTGTCTTCCTGGTGTTTCCCTCTCAGAGACCTAAGCTCCAATACGCAGAGCAAACACTAGAGAAATCTGCACAGGATAGCCCATACACACAGGAAAGAGAACCACCCGGCATTCTCCAGCAGACTCTGAGTTTTACTTGTTTAGTGTGGCGCTGTGAGTTAATGCGCCAGACTGCAAAGCCGTTTGAACTACAAGGTCAGTAGTTCAAGCTCACCAGTCACTCCTTAGAAACCCTGTACAGGGTCGCTATGGATTGGAACGGACTCGACAGCACTTAACAACAACAACAATCACTAACATGAAAAATTTCTGCTTGTACAACACAGTTCAAGCAACAGAACCTACTGACATGAGTGCAATCGAAGGGCAAGAAAGTTCTGTAGAAATGCATCTGACAAGGTAGGAAGTACGTGATTTGACAAGTTCATTGATAACCGCTCTCAACGACCTGGGGCTAATGAATTCTGTAGTTGTTTTCCTTGTCCCCTCTCTACTACCGTCCATCTTTCCTTCCTGGGGGACTTGTCATTGGTCCTTGATGATTACACTGGGGACAGAGCTCCACAGAAGAGACTCTTCACCTAAGTTCTCCATCCACTTCTTACAGCCACAGGAAGGCTCAGGCACTGGCCGGGGTCCCTGTCACTGCAGCAGAGTAGAGGTGGTGCAATAGAAAGACTGGCGGGGTCTCAGAAGAGCTACTGGAAAATCCACCACTGAAAACTCTAGAGCACAGTTCTGCTCTGACCACATGGGGGCGCCGTGAGTGGAATCTTCTCATGAAAAATCCACCACTGAAAACTCTGGAGCACAGTTCTGCTCTGACACACATGGGGGTGCCATGAGTCAGAATTGACCTGACAGTTACATGGTTATGTGACCAACACCAGGCTGAACCCACAAAAATACAAGGCGCGGACTCTGGTCACCAGAAGCTCTGACAGTAGTACAGAGCCTTAACTGCCTGCTGGAAGATTACACACAGCTACAAAAACAACCAGTGTACCTTGTCAGTCATAAAGGGACAGCACACTCTCAAGAGAGAATTCTGCACTGGGTCCATTTCATTGTGCTTTAAGCCAAAGTCTGGAATACTTACTCTAAACTGCGAGGGGGTTTCCAGTGTGCTGAAGTCAGAAGACGCTGAAATCCCATCCTCCAGAGTCTCCAGAAACACCTTCTGAAACTCAAGCATCTCTGGCAAACTTCCAAAAAGAGACTCCATCTGTGAAGGTCGGGGTATGAAAGGGTGGCATTAGCAGTGAAGAGCTCGAGAACCACGCTGACGCAAAGACTCACTAGTAAGCCACAAAGAGACCATTCGATGAGCATCGGACATCCATCAGAGAGCATGATGATTTACTATGGAATAGAACTTACACATACAGAGCTAGATGGCTCTGACCCTATAATTCTAAAATATCTGTTTTAAAGGGAGATAAAATTCAATCCAGGAACAGAGGATGAGCAGAACATGGGACCCTATCCAGAGAAGCAGCCAACACCAGAGATGGAGGCAGAGGTGAGGACTTTAGACTCATGGAAAGTGAAAGGCTGTGTGCTGGCAGCCAGGAGGCAGGCTTGCAGAATGTGCCCCTGGGTTGTTTAAATGATTATATAGTCCTGAGTGTTTCTGTGTACATCCCAAAAGAAAAAAAAACAGGGAATAGAAGCAAATACTGTTGAATGATGATGCATGGAGGAGAGTGTAATCATTGCACTGAAAATATGGTGTGTAAAGCCGATGTTCTCCCATGTAAACTATCACTCAGTTCACAATAAAAACTTTGAAAAAAGGGAGGGTTAAAATTCTCAGCATTTGAATCAGGAAAAAATGAAAGTAAGCAGAAAAGAGTGAACCACGTGATTTTGGTGGTAAGTGCTGTTAAGTCAGTTCCAACGTGGCATATCAGAGGTGGGGAACCTTTTTCTGCCAAGGGCCATTTGGATATTTATAATATCACTAAATATAAACTTATATTCAAGTCCCACCTGAGGTTGCCTAGGCAAGGGATTTCAAATCATTGAAACCAAATGATTTCATAGCCTTACATGGCCAGTGGGCCGTACACCCCTGACCCCTACTGTGTAGGGTTTCTGAAGAGCAGCTGGTGGGTTTGAACGGCCAACCATTTATTGAAAAGTAGCTCGTGAAGGAGGAATGTTGTTAGCAACCAAACTCTTAGCAGCCATTGCCCTACTGGGGTTCCTTACTCCGGGCTATGTGGATGTAAACTTTCAAGATGACCGATAAAGACCATTGGACCGAAGGAAGATGAGCATTTACCTCGTCTTGTGTAAGAAACGTTTCACTTTGAAGTGGCTCCAAGTATAATTCAAAGAGGCAGCTGAGGTCCTGAAAAACAAAAGAAGAGGGTCTCGGACAATGAGTCTCCAAAAGGCCCAAGAGTGCTGCAGCGCAGGACCGCCATTAGGAAGGAGAATGTGATGGTCTCCTTAAAATTATCGCTCTCCTAACTCAGGAAGGGAGCCAGCACTCTAGGCATGCGTTCTTGTAGAGCAGGCAACGGTCTGCTTTGCTTCGTTAACATTGTTGATGGAACACGAGGAGGACAGGTGAGCCCTCGCTAGGTACTTCCTGGGTGATGGGTCTCAGCACACCTTCTGGAGACCTGGAACTTCCCCTCCCCCGTATCAGGGAGGGAGGCCGTGGAGCTGGGGTCCTGTCATTGTAGGGCTGACATGTGAGCAGAATTTCAAACACCCAGATGCAAATGCAAGCAAACAATCCCAATATTAGAACTCCGAATGTTTAAAATCTAGACCATACATGGGGTCTCTAGTAAACTAGCCTCCTGCAGAACAGAAATTGGGGAGTCATCCTAATTGGAAAGATTTCAAAAATGCAGTTATTTTGTATAATAATGTACTTATCGATGCTGTGAAGTGCAGTAGAGCTGGTCCCGACTCACAGTGACCCTGCATAAGGCTTCCAAGGAGCAGCTGGTGGGTTTGAACTACCGATCTTATGATTCACAGTCCAGTGCTGATCCTACAGCACCTCCCCAGATGTATTTTTCTTGCTTCACGTATCCACAAGCATTTTGAGTCCTAAGATACAAGAGCCCTGGGAGCCGAGTGGGTTACAAGTTGGGCTGCTAACGGCAGTTCAAACCTACCAGTTGCGCCTCCCGATAAAGATGAAGCTTTCTGCTCCCATAAAGATATACAGCCTCAGTCAGCCTATACAGGGTCACCGAGTCAGAACCGTGGGCTATGTGGACTCATTTTACAAGGAAAAATCCAGATAGACCTGGAATAGAGCTCTACATCTACAGAGCTGGGAATGGATGCTGGCTGGCCAACCAGAACCGGTGGTGCAGGTCCGAGATGCCAGCAACGTGTCTCAATAAAAACCAACCTGCACCCTCACCATAGTCCCCAGCGGGCTGCCTCAGAGCAGCGTGAACACGTGAGAAGTGCCTGAATCACACTCCCGGGAACACACATGAGTGAAAATGCCACTGGCATGCAGGGAACCAGTTAAAGTCAAGAATAATGACAAGTCCAAGGGAAATCTCAGCGACAAAGAGAAACGAGGAAGAAGGGTGTGTGTGAATCACAGAGACTCCAAGTACTGGTCATTCTGTCAAGACAGACATGGGCCCTCAGAAAGCAAAATGCAGCTGCTTACCGAGGGATGAGCAGGTGGGACCATTATGTCCACTTAGCCCACAAGAGACATCTCAGCGCTCAGTCCCCGGACCAGGAATCCCATCAAAACGACCCTCCCTCACAGCGTGGTAACAACAAATGCAGTAACTGAAGGGACCCAGCACCTATTGTCCACGAGGCTCCCTTGAGCCTCCAAACCCCCAGCTCACAGCTTCTGGGAACAGGTATCTGGGTACACCCTGGATAGGATACTTCCTTCTCTCCCTACTGTCTTGGGCTCTGTGTGAATAGGATGGACGGTGAAGTCCAGGGGCTATCCATGATGGAGGAAGCTGAGGTCTGTCTTGTGGAGAAAGCAGACAAGAAGAGCTTTGTGTGTGCCCGTGTTTAACATGGACTCCATGCGTCAGAATTGGGAGAAAGCCGGGGGGCCCATGTCCCATGGCCCAACCTGGGCAAACCCAGCCTGGCTTCTCATCCAGAGCACCAACACCTGCAGCAAAAGAGCTGAGTCTTCCCAGGCTCCCGGGTACTCCACACGGATTTCTCAGATCACCCTAGACTCCGCACCCTAGGCAGCCACCCCCTCTTTATAAACGTGTGAGAGCATTCCAGAGCTGTGTGAGATGGCTGGACAAGCTCTGGGCCGCACACGCCCACTAGCCCTGGGTCCTGGGTCAGCGGCTCTGTGCCCCCTGCCCAGTTCTTCATCAGCTACAATGACCGTTGGCCCCTTTCCCAGGCTAACAGCCTCCCTCCCCACAGTGTCTCCATAGTGATAAAAGGTGATAAAAGGATCTGACTTTTCTGAGTTGTCTCAGTTCCTCCGCACTCACCCTGGCAGGGCCCGGGACAGATGGCGCCACCAGAAGAGGGAAGTGAGCTGGACAGGGAGGACATGGGTCTCCTCACCTTCACATAGGACTTCTCCGTGTCCACCAGCTCCTGGATGACTTTGCGGAGACGGTCTGCATCGGAGAGGTGGCGGGCCAGGGGCCGGGGTGGGGGGTCCCGGCTCTCCCCTGACGTCTCCATGCCGTCCGTCTGGGGGTCAGCCAAGCTCCTGCACAGTGCAACAATCTGCTCGGCACTCTGAGAGGGACAAGAAAGGAAACCCGGTGAAGGATGTTCACTATTACCACCACCTGCCCACCAAGGACTACAGGGCCCTGACCCCAGCTCAGCATCCATGCCGCATCTCACCGGAGCGCCACCAGCCGAGTGGCTTCACTCAGCTGAGACAGAAGGAAGACAGATGCCAGCCATCCTATACAGCTTACACACAGGATGTGTTTCCTGGGCAAGGTAAACAGTCTTCTGGGATCAAATTACAGAGGGAAGGCGAAGGGCTAACACTTGGCAACAAAGTTAAGGTGTTTCTAAGATCAAGACCTTAAGGCTTTCTGGGGAGCACCAGGAGGAGGAAGAAAGCCCCCACGTCCATGCTGCCCCCTCCACCGCTGACTTGATGCAGCTCCAAGCCCCCATCCAGGAGAGACAGAAAAGGTTCAATCGAACAGCCATGGCTCAGTCACCACTGTCTGGCTTCTGCCCTCAAACTCAAGCCACCTAACCCTCTGCAGTCCCATGCCACATAGCAGCTGTGAGCATTTGAGCTGCGGCTGACACCAGGACTGAGAGTGGAGACAGGTATGCAAGGAAGATACACCCCGTCAAGTGGGGCACCCAGTGAGGGCACAGACAGCAGCAGACAGCCGACAATCTGGCCGGAGACTGCTGGCCGAGAGACGCACAAGCTCTGAGGGACCGACCCTCACAGATGAGTGGGGGCTTTGAGCTTGTTCTAGGGCAGCAAGTACATGCAACCCAGGAACACAGAGATGAGAGAACATGTTCACTCCTGGGAGGGGGCACACAGGTGCATGGACCCCAAAGCAAGGATATCTGCAGTGAGCAGGCATTCGAAGCACCCTGGACTCTCAGAGCAGCCTCGATTACATTCAAATCCGCTGCATCCCATGCTGACTAGTAACCAGCTGGCATCAAGTCAGCTCTGACTCATGGCGACCCCTTGAGTATCAGAACTGACCTGTGCTCCAGAGGGGCTTCAATGTCTGGTTTTCTAAGAGTAGATAACCAGGCCTTTCTTCCAAGGCGTAACTCTAGGAGGACTTGAATCGCCAACCTTTCTGTCAGCAACCGAGCACATTAACCATTTGCACCATCCAGGGATTCCCGTCCCATGTTAGCCCTCCCATGCCATTCTTGATCATTGTCCCAAGTGGCTGGCACAGTGGCGGCTACACAGAAAGCATTCAGTTCAGTCCATCCTGATAACTGAAATTGCTATCTTCTAGCAAAGTAACTCAATCCTCACTCAAATGCTGTTGTTCCATCCCCATTCTCCATCAATCTTTGACAACTTTCCTGTCTCCCATTTGGTTTAAATGCCTTCGTACCTGACCTATATATCACCTATATATGTCGTGTCTGAAGCACCTCTTAATACCTAATTCCTTTCCTTGGTTTCAGATCACAAATAACTGGTACATATTGCAACCAAAGAGGAAAGAGTGTTGAAAAGCATGCTGGCCAAACTCGGTGACCTGAAGCATGCTTTCAGACAACTGTCTCCCTGACAAACTAGTGCCTCCAAAGCCCATCTCCCCCTCTCTCAATACACGGAACCTCAACATATTCTGGTTTGTTCAAGTCAAATCAGTGAGCGCCAAGTGAGGTCTGCTGTGCCCCCAAAGACATGAAGACAGGTCTCACACCACAAGGTAAGATCTCCAGGTCAGAAACACCAAAGCTTGGAGTAAGGCAGACAACACCAGCACATACGTGTGGAACAAACTCACCATAAACAAGCAGAAGTGTCACCATAAACAAACAGGTAATCTCACAAGACCTCAGGGAAGAAGTGGGTTGGAACGAGACCCTTGAAGGAGTACGTTCGAAGGAAGAACCACAGATTGAGCAAACGTGCCGCGAAAAAATGAGCCAGTCATGTAAACAGCCCAAGTCAAGGAGGGGAGAGGCTGAGACCCCGCAGGCATCTGCTAGGGGAACATCAGACTGTTGACACTTTAGATACAGGTACTTCCCTTTTTTTTTTTTTAATGTTTTATTGTGACAGTTTACGTGGGAGAACATTAGCTTTACATGCATCCTATCATATATCGTTTCATTGCCATGGTTACACTCCCCTCCATGTATTATCAATCAACCACAGGGTATACCCTGCAAGCCTGCTCCCCCAGTCGTCAGCACACAGTCCCTTTTCTTCTCTGGGTCCAAAGTCTCCAGCTGCTCCATCTCTCCACAGCATTGTCTCTGCCTCCATCTCAGGCATCACTGCTTCTCTGGGTAGGGTCCCGCTCTCGGCTCTTCTCCTTTGATGGTCCTAGGGACCTCCACTCCTAGACTGAAAAGTTAATCATTCCTGTCCTTGCTACAAAATGTCTATCTTTACATTTCCAATCCTCACAATCAGTCCTGATAACAATTATTCACTATTGTATCACAGGAGACCTATCTGCATGTCCTTTCATCAGCCCCACCTAGACAGAATGGATACTACTCAGTGGAGAGTATACGTTCCTCCACGTCCTCTGGATCTAGGTTCCCTCTTGAAAGCTTGTAAGCCAGTCACTTCTTGCCTTTGGAGCCCGCCTCCCCCACTTTGGGTAACCAACATCCAAGTTGCCCATTCCTATCTACTCTGTGTATGGAAGGGGTGGGAATGATCCTTGCTGTAAAGATTTGTTCCCTCTTGAGCTACTGCATCCATAGGTGTAGGTCAAGTTCTTCAAACTGTATCAGATTATGCATTTTTTCCTCTTCTTTCTTCTTTTAGTTGAGCTCTGTTCATCCAGTCGAAGCCAGGTCAAGTAGGTATTATGTGGAAGTGTGGGTGTTCTTGTGCATATGCCCTCTCTTCTTATCAGCTGGATGTTTCACTCTCCACTCTAGTCCTCTGTGGCTATGTCCTGACTCTGGACCCAAGAGTCCCCAGGTCTTGCCACACTGTTGGCCAACCAGGTCTCCACCCAGGTTCACAGGAGTCTATTGAATGTTGTAGGGCTTAGCTCGCAGCTTCATTGCTACTTTTCCCTCACTTCCCCTTAAAGGTTACGAACATGGTCACCAATCAGAGCATGTATTCCCACTGAGCCTTAGTCTTGGAAGGGGGTTTGCTCTGAGTGGACC